CAGATTGTGAAATTTTAAAAGTTGTTCTGACAATTGCTCATAGATGATAGACGGATCGTCTCCTCCCAAACATGTGTCTATGATTTGTTTCCCACTTCAACTGAAGGCAAAGGCCACAGTCAAACAGACAGCCGCCGCATTCGAGACGAACCGAAGAATAAACTCAAAACTATATACCTACGCTCGCCGTAAGCTGAGGAAAAGGGAATACCTACCCAAATCAGCGAGGAAATTCAATTTCGAGTAAAATTCAAAATCGATTAAAAAACAGCACCCGATAAGGAGGACTCAAATCGATCTGGGAAAGACTATTCAAAATTCAACAACTGTCAAACTCCATCCATTCATCCACGCGCCCCCACAGAGATTGCCCGCCTGATTACTTTTTTTTTTTTTTTTTTTTTTTTTTTATAAGTCTCAAGGCGAATATTTTAGTCGAATAGGAAAATCGACTCTTCCCTCAAGGCTACCAACCCAATCAATGAAGTTTGACAGCTACGCTGACGTAAGCGGTTCGCTATCATAGACAAAACAGCTGTCCTACGTGTGTCAGTGTCACGCTCTGTTTAAAAACAAACACTACAACATATATTATAAAGAGGAAAAGTTTGTTTATAACGAAATGGCTCAAAAAGTACTGGACCGATTTTAAAATTCTTTCACCATTGGAATGCTACATTATCACTGATTAATACAGGCTATAGTGTATTTACAAAAAAGTTAGGGTTCCGAATGAAAACTTCGATAATGTAACTCAACGTGTGTAAAATATACCAAAAAATAGCCTTATATCGCGTACGCTGCAGAAGTCATTGATAATAGAGCAAAGTGATGTACTAAAGTTTTATAGAAGATACCAATATCTAAAAAAAAGTCCGCGATACCATATATCTAATTATTACAGTTATGTCACAACGGGAGGTCCCCTGGGGTTTCACCTGCGTTAATTTGAAGAAAAAGGTTTATAGTGAGTCAAACTTAAAATATGTACATAGGCTGTTGTGGACTTTTTTACAGAACTTTTGAAGGGGAAGAACTCCGTCACACATGATTTTTGTGTAACTTTAACCGTTTACCCAGCACAAGTAACGGAATCTCACAAAGGGAACATTTTACCCGTTTTTGCAACATTTTTCATCGATGTTCCGCTGCTACTGGTCGTAGCGTGGTAATATCTAGCCTTTCTCGATAAATGCACTGTCCAATACTAAAATATTTTTTCAAATTGGAACAGCTCAACAATTTTGCATTCGATACAACGGGTCCTAAACTACGCAACGATTTTTTTTAATATACTTAATATAAAATTATTATTGTAACTGTATATATCTATATCCTAAATGATGTAATGGAAGGTGACTTCAGAAGTATCTCTTAAGTCATTTTTCAACGTGACGACTCTGTATATATCAATACAGGGAGAAAAAAGCAGCCCCTGCTGAGTTTCTTGCCGGTTCTTCTCAGTACAAGGTCTCCCGCCGTAGTTTTGCGAACCGATGGCGTAGCTTCTGACCTTCACAAGTGCTTGTAACAGCCTAGACTGAATAAATGACTTTTCATTTCATTTCAATGAAAAGTGAGCCTCTCTCGCTAGCACGCGATCTGTGTACGGAAGAGACGGTTAAACATGGATAGCTGGTTTTAGCTGAAGCATTAATTTTAAACTAACGATGACTAACGCTAATAAATTACAGCGGAAGAAAAGAGTAAGCACCGATAATCGATTTTAGCTGAAGTAATTTATAAAGCGTCGAATAAAACTTATTCCGTAAAAACAATTTTGAATTCAGTATCTCCTTTTACTTGCCTCAAATATACTATATGGGTGATTCTCAGTTAAGAGGTATGTTCGACGGCTAAGCCAAAAAAATCATTATATTTGGAAATTATGGTCTAAAATCTTAATAATTTCAATTAACTAAATGTATTCTAAATTGTTACTTAAAATTATATTCTAAATGTGCATAATTTACTTACAATAACAGCACAAAGACGAAAAACATCTCTCCCCTGGGTTGTCCCCTAACGGTTTTTTTTTGGAAATTGGAAATCAGTAATTTTGAGTCCATTGAAATTTAATTATTACTTTTCTATCGGTAATAACATGGACCCTGATAACTTAGTTACAGTATGTAACCATTAAATTAATTTATATTTGCACTTTTTATAAAAAATATTAATCGCAAACTGTTTCCTCCGAGTTTCGTGTCTCGCACCCTGGCCTTAGGTTTAGTTTGAAAATCGTATTCGTTTACCATAGTCTGTGGTAGTTTTAACCCTGAAGACACTGAGTGTCACGTGAAGTTAGCAGCAAGCGCTGCACAAGTCATCCGCGAGGCGATGTTTTTGGCCATAGTGATCCGCAAAATATTGAAAGTATCGATACTTACTCGATACCAAGTATCGTATTAAAAGTATCGATACTACTTGGTATCGAGTACTTTTTAACGTATTGAATGAAACATGACAAATGATTAGTTAAAAGTGGTTTATTACAAATGAACAGAAAAAACAACAGAAATAATTAAAACCCCCAGTCTGTTTCTGAACAATCTGATAAAAATAACAATTTATCAAGCTTTGAACCAGTAAGACGATTGCGAGCTTCGCTTATTGTTGCGCCAGCTTTAGAAAACAGGCGCTCTGAAGGCACTGATGTGCCTGGCACAATAAGGTATTTTCGTGACAATGCATAGAGCTTCGGGAATACTGACTTCATGTCTTCCCACTGCTGAAAAATGTCAGACTTTAAAGGAGGGGGAAAAAGAACTTGCGAAAGTATCAAGTACTTTTGAAAGTATCGATACCTACTAAGTATCGAAAGAAAATGTATCGAGTACTCAAATACTTGGTATCGAAACGAAAGTATCGATACTACTCAGTTATCGATACTTTTTGCGGATCACTATTTGGCCATTTGCGCAACGGTGCTCGATGAGTGCAGCCGTGTTGAGTGATCGAAGTATTTACCATGGTAATTTTTTTTCGTATTTATGTGTTTAAATACTACAATGGTGTCAATTCTGACACGATTCTCTAAACCTAAACTTAAATTTGACAAGTGTATCCTTGTCATTCTCTATACGGAATGAAAAGGAGAGATTGATGTTAAATTTAGTTTTAAGTTTAGAGAATCCCGCCAGAATCGATACCAATATCTATATACATTTATTTTAAATAGTGCTGCAAACCTTTTATTTATTTGTAATCTATGTAAAATTAGTAGTTTTACGGCAATTTTAGATTTTTAACGAAAATGTCTCTCCCCTGCCATATTTCCCCTGGCTGTTATGGTGCCAGGCTACTAACAAAACTATAAAAACGATGCAATAGCTCGATAACAGTAATGATAATTTTTTAGAGAATGTACAATTGCATATAATTTTAGATAATTGTTTAGCTTTATATCGTTATTCCACTAAAATCTGATTGCACGGATAAGTACTTTACATCTTAATATGCGCTCTAAGCGCATTGCAACAAAGTTCATCTTGTCTCTACCCTGTACTCAGTATCTCACCTGGTGTCTCGTAAAACGAGAATAAATTAAAAAATGACTGATCATCTTAAACTCATCTGTCTTGATAAAAGTAGTGGTATAGTTATATAAATATCGACAGTTTTTGCTGTGCCGCTGCTGCTGCATACAACCGATTACCTCTTAACTGAGAATCACCCATATATATATAATATATATATTTGCAACAGTTTAAAATTCAAACAGTCAAAGCCAATTACCGTGAGATACCTAATTTTAGCGGAATAATCTCACAGGATATTTACTCTAAGAATAAGGAAATTTAATTAGATTCAAAGTAGGGAACCCTACTATTACAAAGGCGATGTTCTTGGCTGTATCATTTCGGTGGTAATTTTTTAATATTTCGGTAGACACTTCATTTCAGTGGACTCCCGAAAACTTGTCACTTACTGAAATATTAAAATGAATGATTGGTGAATTCGATCGTTTTTAAATGGAAAAAAAACGAGTATCAATATATTATTTTTTTATTATTTTGCACCTTTTTTGCATGTTGTGCAAAAACTATGGGAGATACGCGAAATTATGTTGATCAATACCCTTTTTGTAGGAAATAAAATTTTCTACAACTTTGTAGGAACTTTTTCTATTTTCCCAGTCAGTCGCGAGATATTGACGAATAACCCGTTTTTGCACCATTTCGCAATGTTTTTGCACTCTTTGCCGTCAATGCAGCACCCTGCAATTTTACCTTTGTTCCCAACGGGTCACACTTTCCAGTATATATAAGTACTCTTTGGTCACACTGTAACCTGTTACACTGTGACTCGTTGAGAGAACTTAGTAAAATAATTCCCAATTAGTATATTAATCTACGAACCCTCGCGGAAATTTTCGCGTTGGTTGCAGGCGATCAACTCAAAATGGCAAAGTTAAGCTTTCATTGACTGGACTAGAGTTCGCTAGTAGCTTGTAAATTCGCCTCGTATCGAGTAGCAGATGGTAGAAAAGCTGATGACATGGGGCGAGTTTACAAGCCGCTAGTAGCAAACTGGTTGGCATAACCTTGCAGCCGGCTGTAGGGTATCTATGAGGATTTCACGATTTTCAACAACATAAAAATCGGGGGTTGTCATTGGTATTAAAAAAAATATTAATAACAAATTGAGTTTGACTTTGATTTAGTTATTTAAGTTGAGATACATTGATTGATTGACAATTTCCGATATAGAAAATAAAGACTTCCGTAGATACTACAATATAATTTGATCATGCTTAACCTACGGCCTCGTAGGTACAGGATCCCCTCCATGGCCTTCTTGCTTCTATCTTCTAACATTTTAGTACCTTGAAATTATTTGGACACATCGTTCATCATAAACAGTCGCTCATAGCAGCAAGGTACCTTGGCCGAGAGCCGTGATGGTATGGTAATTGTCATAAAGCAAACAACTGCCATTACCAGCTCAAAGATTTCATACTAATGAGGTAGGAAACAATCAAAAATAAAAAACACAGTCAACCCTTGACACTTTATTGTAATCAATTCCAACTTAAAGATTTAAATAATTCAACTTATAATTTTTATTATCATCACTGCAGAAATAGAATACTTGTATATAAATCGATTATTTTTTTGCCCTGCCAAACTTTTGTTTAGTCACGCTTGCGGCGACGATTTTGTTCCTCCTGCAAAAAATTATAAAAAGAGAAAATATAAAACCTACCACCACCACTTCCATGCCTATTTAGTAATACAATTTACTGATCACCACTCCCTTAAAAGTGCACTTAACATCAAATATGTGGCTACAATAAATCTTTAAGCCTAGCCTATTAGCCAAATGTTCGCAGACCATTGCTGCTCTCATCACTATTTTTCATTAATGACATTTATGTAGGTATTTTAGCCAAAGTATAGGATAAAATCAGGCTTCACCTGATTTTAAAATCGCCGGTGCCAAAGCCGTGTAAGGGCAGGAGAGTATGAAAATGACAAAAATATTTCTAAAATATTGTAAACAACAATTGAATTAATAAAGTAACTCCATAAGGTTTTTAACTGTGGGGAAGCCCTTATATCCCACTCACATATAAATATAATAAAAACCATTTATGAGTTACCTTTTGTGTTAAAATGATGACTAGCCTCCTGAACATGCCAATGAAATCAATGAATAATTCTAGAGCATGTTGAACAAAGTCCTTGCTACCCATTCGGCGCTTCTCTATGATAAGTTGTGTGTCAAAGAGTACAAAACCACACATAAGCATAAGTCCGAGATAAAGATGAGCCTGAAAAAAATTAAAAAGTTTTATGCATAATTAAACTTTATATACTTAACAGTAAGAGTGTAATGATTAAATCAAAATATCTGAAACAAATATTGATGGCTAAGAATGCATTCTGATTTCCAAATGATATGATTCCACACATTTATTGTTTCATATATCATCTGCTTAACATGTAAATTTGCTATCTCCACTTTTGGCCAAAAATTACCTAATAATGGCGTTTGTTTCTTTTAATGTGAACACATCGTTTACGTAAATTTGGCAACTCCTTGAATAAAGTGGAGATAGCAAATTTACATGTTAAGCAGACGATATGTAGTATTGAAATTTGCTTTTTGTTATAAAAAAAAACTGCTTTCTTACTAAAAGAAACAGACGCTACAAAGTACAAACTCAGTTTTACTTACTTGATACAGAAAGTGTGATTGCATGAACAAATTCACCAAAGTCATCAAAGACATTGATGTCAGTAGAGTCATCAATGTACCACCAAGGAATAACCAACTGCCACGTTCTGCTAGCATTGCTGCTATGGAGAAGCATACAAAGACCAGTGTTGTGCCCAACAGAGCAGTTACTATTATTGATGGATCAACAACACTAACATATTCTAGTAAGGGGCCCATGCTCATCCCTAAAACAAGAATATATTAAATACAGTGTCATTAAATAAAATAGAGAATTAAGTTATTTTTTAAACAAAAGTTTACTAGAAAAAAAAATCCACGTGGACCAGGCAGCAGACGGGACTCGAACCCGCATCCTTCGCTATCCGGGCGAATGCACTGACCATTATGCTACCACAGGCCTATTAGCCGCGTTGAAATTTTCCTAGCTTTAAGCTGCAAGGCAGCGCCATCTCTTCACATTGTAGGTAACCCACAATGTCAAATGAATACTTTTTCAAGTATTAAACATTTGAAAGAAGAAATAGCAATTATAGTTATCATTTTATTTATTTATTTATATATAACCCACAATAAATAAAATCATAACTATAATTGCTATTAGCAAAATGGTCAGTGCATTAGCCTGGATAGAGAAGGATGCAGGTTCGAGTCCCGTCCGCTGCCTGGTCCGCGTGGATTTTATTCTAGTAAACTTTTCTTTAGATTTAAACATCTAGCAGTTAAATGCTTAAAAAATAAATAAAATCATAAGTTATTTTTTTATTTTGTCAATAAATATACCTGATGTTAAGCCAAATCCTAAGAGATATCCCAACCTGAGATTTGTATTTTTTCCATTATCTGGGGTTGCAATGAGCATGAGCATCAAACCAGCTCCAATGATAGTAGACAGAAATCCAGCTTGGAAACGTGTGAACATATCCACATAGACTCCAGCCGTAGCTGATGCACAAGTCATCATAAGTGTACCATACACATTTTTAAGATGTTGACGTACTGGAGGTTCCCTGTAGAAAAATAAACAAATAGTTGAACAAAGTCCAGCCTGATATAATGATTATACATGGGACAGATTTAAATTTCTATTTCAGAAAAGAAGGTAAGATATCAAAATCCTAAATGATAGAAGTGTAAAAAAAAATGTAAACAAACATATTATAATTAATCCCAATATGTAGATAAAAATCAAAGATTAAATGATTACACCAGCTCAAATAAAGGGTGTGGATTGGAAAGTGATGTAATAATTTGTATCAACTAAGTATATTGAATGCACAAGCCAGTGTGTGTCATAATTTAAAACTACAACAGAACAAATTATTAGTCTCAATTGGCAACGTAATAGATACGTCTAGAACAAATGGTAGTGTGTACATTTGCTGACCTCGCCATTGTCACTAAAATTTATACTTCCCGTAACTATAAAGCAACTAAGTAGACCACTTTTTTCGTATTATCTAAAACGACTATATTATAATAATACTTACAGTCTATTTTGAAAGCTATTAATGAACGTCTGAATGTTGGGCGTCATTTTGTTTGTTCCTTTTCCAATAAGATAAAAACAGTTGTCAAACGAAAAGCACTCAATTCCAGAAATCGGTCTTCTAAAATAAAACAAATCACTCTTCAAGACGCTACTGCAAGAATTGTTGATTAATGTAGTTTTCAGTCGTAATTTATTGTGGTAATTTTCTGGCTCGACTGGTAGGTATTTAATGAAAAATTTTGACAGACATCACACCATCTTTCGACAACAAGCGTCATTGTAGAGTTGTGCTGATCAGAATTCAAAATATATCGACTATCGAAATATTTTTTTATTACTATCATTAGTTTCATATCTTAACTTTTACCTTTTCTAGCTTTATTACCATTACAAATAGTCGACTATAATTCTCTTTTTATTAATAATTTAAAAAAGAATAGAGGCTAAAGCATGTTTTAGGCATAAGTGACAGTGGATCACCATCACACACCATTTCTATAACTAAATGAGCACATTATGTATATTGCATATACATACGTATAAGTATGTTTATATTTTCCTTTGAATGGTTCCCACTGTTTGATAACAGTTGAAGCTACATATGCTATAACGACCTCAATATATTTAGTATTTTTCTCTCGCCATTGTGGAAAAAGCAAGCAGTTTCAAATCTAGTTCTCTATATAGTTATTTATCTATTGTGTTTTGAGTAAAGTTCAAATGTACCTCAAAGAACTCTGACGAAGAAGAATCTTTATCAGATAGTGTTCAAACGATAACGATTCTAGAGTGATACTCTAAAGCAAAAACTAAATTTAACACCAGTTTACCCTTTATATTCTGTATGGATAATGACAAGGATACCCTGTTGTCAAATTTAATCGACACCATTGTTGGTTCCAACATAATTTGTAGAACCATTGTCCAAAGCTAATGGCAGCATTATATAAAGCAAAAAGCAGTCCATCAGTTAGATTATCAAAAAATAATAGTCACTTATTATTTCTTTTATCAATTAATCAAAAGATAAAAGCTAAGCGTATCAAGTTTGGGAGTGGGAGGTAGTGACGTCACTTGAATGTTAAAAAAAAATACTTCATACGACATTTCAAATCAACATATCTCTGTAATCTTGTAATTATGTGAAAAAATAAGTGTCTTATATTTTTTGGTAATCTATTTGATAGAAAAAAGAAAAAGAACTAGTCTACATCACTATTGTAACAACCTTTTTTTTGTAAGTAATATTAGACTATATTAGTTTGTCAACAAAGGTTTCACATCACATATTTTCTTCAACACTCCCCAATCTACTTACAAAATTCTGTAAAAAAACAAGTACCAGTGGTTTCTATCCGGTACACTGCTTATATAACATATTTTTTGTAGATCCCTAGAATCTCTAAATGCTATTCCAAAAACAGGTACTCTTTTTGGTAGCTTATATTTTTACTAGTTTTACTTCGTGTTTCTTTATTTTTAAGGTGCTATTAAAATAAAGAAAAAATCTAAATCCTTTTTGTTACCATTTATCTGTCTGACTGACTATAACATTTTTCTTAGGAACGCATGGAGTTTTAAAAAAAGTTTGGTTATATGGAACCACTATGCAAGTGAAACTTAAAATCGTACAGCACTTCGTAATTAATACACGAGCTGCCATCAGCATTCAATTATATCAGTAATGACTAGAAACTGAATTCAAAATTAAATTATTTGTAGAATTTTGTAAATAAGAGGAATATTATTTCAACATTTTGTCATAATTTGATAATGTCTAAAATTATATATTTTTAAATAAAATATTATGGCGTTATGGTTTGCAAAATCACACTATTGACTTGATCATTTATAACGTATAGGAAAAGTTACGTTAATAAACGATAACTTAAATTCTTCGCAGAGGTCACCTTTATCTCTGTTCATAACATCAATTCAACCATATTTGTTCAGTGTTGTAGCTATGAAAGTGTCACAAACAGAACGAGATTATTTTGAATTATAATATAAGCATGGATAAATTCTTTTATCAAATTTAATGCATCATGTGAAATCCAGTTATTTTTCTTATTATTTAGTAAATTTTTGAGACATTTAGTATATCCTAGTAGGATATTATAAATGTGGAAGTTTGTATGTTTGCTACTCAATCACGCAGAAACTACTTAACGGATTTGGATGAAATTTGGTACACATATAGTTTATGACCTGCTTAGGACAAATTATTCTTTTTATCCCGAAAATGTTAGATTCCTATAGGATTCTCAAACAACAAAAGTTAATGCGGACGAAGTAGCAGGCGGCCTCTAGATATATATATAATTTTAATTTATATGCCATTTGATCCGCTGCAGTGGATAAATTTAAATATAAGAAAACATACTGAACGAAAGTAAATACCACAATATTTTAAAACTGAGAAAAAGTGTATATTCATAAGATTAAATATTTAAAACGAATGAAATGTCATCGATAAATTCTTCTTCCAACGAACATCACTAAACTATTCCAGCCAATAGAAATACACCACGGTGGCATAGTAAAGAAAACCTAGAGAAAATTCGTTCTCAATGGTTCTCAATCTTTTCTCAACAAAAAGCCGGCACTTTATATGGTTATTTGTATTAGCTGTTTTGTAAACTTGACAGTTTCACCTTTTCAAATAACACACTTTAATGATTTACTATAGAGATATAGTATGAAAAGGACGACCTGCTATCAAAATGACAAATAGTCACATAGCATAACGAAAAGCAATCAACTATGTGGCGTGAACTTCATGCTCTACTTCATGCTTAGAGCATTTATACCAAAAGATGCCATAGCGTTCACTCGCCGAACAAAATTTTTCACCATTTTTGGTGCGGGACGAAGTACACACGTATAGCACACTAATGAAAATATGCAATACTCCCACAAACACGAGCGTGTTGTTGCTATAAACCAGGGATGCACAGACTAATTAAGCCAGAAGTATAGGTTATTAGAGACAATAAAGAATTGATAATGGTGTCGATTCTAGCGTCATTCTCTAAACTTAAAACAAAATTTAACATCAGTCTCTCCTTTTCATTCTGTATAGAGAATGACAAGGAAGCACTGTTGTCAAATTTAAGTTTAGCTTTAGAGAATCATGCCAGAATCGATATCAATAGTTTATTAAAATTGAAAAATATTTTTTTAATTTGAAGCGTGGCACTGTATAGTGCTTACAATCTTTTTATATTTGGCTCAAATTTATTTGTAGCAACACGTAAAACTGCTTCCAAACTTTCATTTGCAAGGCGGTTTCGATTTTTTGTTTTATATTATTTAGTATTGAAAAAGTTTGTTCACTTATATAGGTAGAACCAAATAACCTGGCACATGTCAGAGCGTTTATGCTAATTATTTTTGCTGTCGACGGGCCGCGGTCTGTGCATCCATGCTATAAACGCACAATTCAAAAATTACGTCACACAAATAAAAAAACGCACACACGCTAACAATTTTTATGTAACTATGCAATTGTTCGAGTGTACACCAACACAAAATTAGGGATGTGACATTAAAAGAATGAACGATATTTGAATGAATAGTTCTTGATGAGTGAACATAATGTTTGTTTATAATGAAAACAAAATTTTTCATTTATAAATATCTATCTGAAAGCTTATTTATAGTTTTAGTACTTATGATTTTTATGTATAAGATTCAATATTTTTTTTGCAAATTATATTGCTGTGCAAAAAATCTTTCCAACTGATTTTGCTGCCTTTTATCGGATAACCTGCATAAATTTAATTGCTTTTACACCTTTAATAAAAGCAAACGCAGTATATTGACACAAAACACTGCGTAACTGACCCAAGCTTATTCATTCTTTGTTTAATATAATGGGGATAGCGAATTAATATACTTCAGTGAATTAAAGTTATTTGTGTTATAGTAAATGTTTACCTCAGTGGCGTAAGAAGTCAATAATTTTATCATGTGTCAATAATTAGAAATAAAACCTCAATGATTCAAGCTTTCGGCAATCATCGATCCCATGCTTTCAACGAGTGCTTCGCTAGCGTACGCTTATATAGATGTATATATACAAAATGATAAAAAAATATTAACCTATATATTTCAGGAATCTATGGGCACGGCAATGCCCCCGCCAAGTCAAGCAAAAACAGCGGCACGGCCGTACCATCCTTTTCTCGAAACGGTTCAGGCCATTTTCAACTCCCTATAACTTCGTTGGCGATAAAACTAGAAGTTTGTGTTTTCAGTTACCAAGTAGGCATTGTATAAACTCGATATGTTTCAAATTTCATTGAATTTGAGCCTGTAGTTTAAGAATTTTATTACAACTATTCAAAGTTTCTTAATTATGTCACTTACTGACTGACCGATTATCAAAACTCTAAGGCACTTCTAGCAGACATAGAAGCTTTAAATTTAGAATACAATATGTTAAAGTATACATTAAGGAAAAACTAATATATTTTGCAATTTCGGCTAAGTTTTCTAGAAATACTAACTGTATAAATAACTTTGTAATCTCATATAAATATATAGGATTACAAAGTTACATTTGCAGTTAATGAATCAGTGTATGTGTTATATAAATGTTTAACTATATTATAATAGAGGGCGTACATAAGTATCTTGGTATAATAATGGAAAATTGGAATCCCAAAATTATATGATTTATATTTTAGAATAGAACGCGAATCGAATGGTTTTAGAGTTCGAATCAATTTGAATATGTTTTATTTACTTTTACTTTTTACCGTTATATGGAGCTGTAAGTAGTTAGTTCACGAAATGACAGTTGCTTTTCGGGCATTTATATAGACGTTGAACGTTGATAGGATAATAGGCTAGTTGACCCTTTTTGGAAAAAGGTTTTAAATGGTTAATTAATGTTCTATTAGACCGAAAAAAAATGTATTGTATTTTTTTTAAACCTAGAAAGCTACAAATCTTTAATTTTAAAATAGACTTTTCATGGACATACAAAAACGCTGTCGGCCATTTTAGTCTATAGATTATCTATGCTATGACGTGAACTGTCGTAAACAAAAACTCGTAAACACGTAGAAAATTACTTTTAACTGAGTTTATAATAAACAAAAACATGATTTCTAATAAATACCACGAAAAATAAAGTAATTATCATTACTGTATTGTACGAGAATATAAAAACACATCCTTGAAGACTCCAGGAAAGTTGTCGATTAAAGTGCCGAAAGAAATTAACCTACGCAACTTTATTACACTTATTCATATGTT